TCCTCTACAGAGAAATACTTCTCAATCAAGTTTAATGAAGACTTGTACACAGACTCGTTTTCATGGTTTTGTAGGGCTTCAATTTTATCCAGGCCTCCACATTCTTCGATCATTATACTAAGTTTCTCGGTTTCTCCTAGCTTCTCAGCAGCCTGGAAAATATTTGAAATGACATCCAAAATAACCAGAATAATTTTGGTATCTTTTGCAGTTAAGAGGTTCATCAGCGGTTCTATGATGCCACAGTGGACGAGGTATACAATCTGCTCCACTGTTCCGCCGCTTGTGTAGTTGGTCACAGCCCACACAGCCTCCTTCTGCGTCTTAAAGTCAGCCTTAGAGAGCACGCCAACGAGCAACGGGACTAACCCGTGATTCACAACCTACTGGATCTGGTCCTGCCGACCGGCAGCGATGTTGGACATGGTCCGCGTAGCTTCCTTCTGAATATTTGTTTTGGAGTTGGTTAGAAGGCTGGGGAAGACGGCGAGTACTCCAGCATCAATCACAACCTGGGTCTGTTCATCTTTCCCAGTGACAATATTACCTATGGCTCTTAGGGCAGGGGTCACAATGGGCAATTCGGTAGCTCCTAGAAGCTTCACACGTTGGGGAACAACTCCTGTTTTCACAACCATTTCAATCCGTTCATTTGAACCATCAGTAAGGTAGGAAATGGCCCGGCAGGTATCTGCTAATACTTCGGGATCATCGTGATGCAGAAGACGAACTAAAGTAGGAAGAATTTGCTCAACAGCATCTAGCGGGGGTGCGGGATTCTTGTTGCGGCAGAGGTTTGAAAGTGTCCAGGTAAGGTTACGTAAGTAACCACACTAGGGGGGAAAAAAGCAATGAGAGGGCTGTCTCTTAAGAAGGAGGGGAAGTAGGTAACACGTTAGTCACTTACTGCTAACGATGACATATCAGGAACTGCAAGGAGAGCCAACAGCGGGTCAATTGCTCCATACTTGATAACTAGGTCCCGGAAAACTGAACCATCCCCTGAAAACAGACATGATTATCTTATCTACAGGTCTAGTACCATCAGGAATTCCCTGACTTTAGATACCTCTTTGGTGGCTTTTTTTTTGGATGCCACTTCCATACCTAGTAAAAGGCCTGAAATAAACTCAAAACTTGACACGAACGTCACTACTGCAGTGACACAAGGCCTTTCTCTCACCTCATTCTGTTCAGACATATTCAGTCAAAGGGGAGTACCTGCGATGTTTCCTAGAGCCCACACAGCTTGCTCACTGATGTGCGCGTGGGGAGAGGCCAACAGAGAAATGAACGCTGGGATAGCGCCTCCGTCCACCACAGCCTTGGTCTGGGCGCAGGGCTCACAGGCTGGGGATCCGCTGCCCTAGAAACGTCCACCGCGGCTCAGCCTTAAGACCGTGTCCCGGTACATTTTTATTTTCAACATTCACAATATTTTTTAAATAACCAACATTTCCAGTAGGAAATAAGCTTAAGATTTCCGTCTACTCTTCAGCAGCTTCCATAAGGCATATTAATTTTAGCATTAAAGGTAGCCTATTCCCAAGTATTTCCTGCTTTCTAGTGAACACAGAAGTGGGTGGGAATTAACCACTAATGTCCCTATCAACTCCTTAACACACTGTATACATTTGATGTTTCTATTGCATAAAAAAATACATACATACATATATACTTTCCTAAAACTTTGAGATATTGGAATCTTTTTGTGTAAATAACCAGAAGTCAATCAATCTTGTGATGGAAAATTCTACTGGTCCTTATCAGGAAAGTAAAACCAGTGCTTTAGATCTTTCCCACCAATAAACATGATTCTACACATTCTGCCTAAAAAGTAGACTTTTGTTTTTCGGGTTTTTTTAGGATTTTGCCAAAGGGCCTGTGTGCTCACTGGAGAGACAGTGAAAGGGAAAGTGAGAAATCACTCACTCCCCAGGGGGATATGGTCATGCCTCAACTCCTTCTCCTCCTTTCTTTTTTTTTTTTTTATTAATTATTTTACATACTTTCACTGAACATCACCACATACAAAATGCGATTTTCTAGCCAGAATACACTGTAAAATGGCTTAATCATACATATATTATCGTCAACAAATAATTTTCCATTTCTTGCTTCTTGTAAATATGTATTTTTCCCCCTATTTCTCACCCTCTGCCATTCTTCTCCTGGAATTTTGGGCATGCACACACACATCCCTTGCACAATTTTCAAGTCACCAGGTCTAGGATTCAAACATCGTCAGCCATGTGGGAGTACAGTATCTTAAACACTATGCCACCTGCTGGTCTCTTATACCTCCATTCTAAGACTGACAAGCTTCAGTATCGGGACAGCCAGTCCTATGCATTTTCTTTTTTTTTTTCCTTTTTTTTTCCTAAGTATTTTTTAAGTTTATCTATGTTTGTTTATTTCCTCCATGAGAGAGAGAAAGAGAGAGAGGAAAAGACAGACAGAGAGACAGGTGCCCCCAAATGTCTTTCACACCATGATCCACCTGCAATCTCAGCTGGGCCAGATCACAGAGGTACACTCATGCCTGGTGTACCCAGGGAGGTCCCAGGATGTGAACCCGAGTCCTATCCTATGTGGATCCAGTTGTAACACCACTGCATCACTGCCTGGCCCCCAAATCTATGCATTTTCAATAACTTTCCCCAAGCACCCCTCTCTACCCAGGCCACCACCAACTACCACTGCCACTACCGAAGCTAACTCTCATGCCACCTGACTATTTCAGCACTGTGCCTTTTAAGCTGTAGTACGTTTCCCTTTCCTTGACTCACACCTTGATTCTGGTCTCCCTAGACTTCGGCTTCTACAAAATGGATCTTCTCTGCTTATTGCTTGGATTAGCATACCTAGCAATAGGACGCCCCTCTTGACTTTGGCTTCTGTACTTCAGTTTCCCTTCCTGGATTCTCCATCAGCATGGTGCTGCTGATCATCTTTGAACGCAGCCTGTGGCTAGCTGCTCCCACACATTATTCATAGGACAGGCCCCAGGCAGTCTGTCAGTCTGTATACCTGTAGCACCAGCTCCAACTCGAATGCCAGCAGCATCTACAGCCAGGGACTCAAGTATATGTCTATGTAACTCTGAGGGCACAAACATGGGGCTCAGCAGAACAGAATCTGGTGAGCCGGAGGACTGGAAGAAGGAGATTACAACACTACTGAGCCCTGTGGAGGGTGCTTCTCTCTCTGTGTATCACCTGCATGCATGTGTGTCCTACCACAAATTAAGAAGAAAAAAAGCATCTGTCTTAGTCTGTTTGGGCTCCTTTAACAAAATGCTGGGTGCCTTACAAACAACTGAAATTTATGATTCCTAGTTATATAGGCTGGAAAGTCAAAGGTCAAGGTGCTGGCAGACTTACCATCTGATAACTGCCATCATCTCCCTTTAGCCTCACATGGAGAGACAAAGGTTAAGAGAAACATGGAGAAAGGGGCAAGGCTCTAAGACTAATCGTACTCGTGAGCTCCACTCCCATGACCAAATCACCTCCCAAAGGCCCCACCAGCACCAGCACACCAGTGATCAGGTTCCCAACTTGTCATTTTGGGGGGATCCAAACATTCAGACATAGTGTCCTCTTGTTTCCAGGCAGAAAATAAGGTAAAGATACTAGAAGCTCCTTTCCTTGTGGAAATTCAAGTCTAATTAGAAGGGGTCCTGGAGAGGCTCTAAGAATTCCTTTTGTCCTGAATTGGCTCGGAATTCATGATAATGCAAGCCCACAATAGTAAAGCACAAAAGAGCAAATAACCTCATCCCCACCCCAAAACCCCCATGTCTGACCTAAAAAACTCAACACTCAAAACCAACTAAGGTCAGAAAATTGGAATTTCCTGGGGGGGGGGGGATAATATTTTGAATATTCATGAAATGTCCCTTTTTTTCATTTTTGTATTCTATGAGCTTCCTTATTCTCTGTGCCTTCGGTGGAGATCCTCCTCTAGGTGGTATGAGTGTGTTCCGTATTATTCGTTTTCAGAGAGTATTTTAAAAAGTATTTTATAACAGTATTTGTAAAAGCTAGGGACTCATTTGTCTTCCCTTCCCTATTTTATGTTTACTCTTCATAAAAATTCAGGAACTAAGATAACACAGGAAGAATTTGAGACCTATCGCTTATAAACTTACAGAATAAATTGCCTAAAACCAAAGACTTGGGGATTTCCTGAAGACGCTAAAAAGCAGTGCAAGTTTCTAAGCATCGTCCCACAGTGCCAACAGCTCTCTTTACGTTGTCATTGTCATTTCCATGCTACTCCGATCTGGTGGTTTTAAAGTGCATGCGTTCTCTGCAATATGCAGCACCACACCGAGGAGGGCGGCGACGTTTCCTTGTAGAGTTTAGGCTTTTGTCCCTTCTGTCAAGATTAGTAAGTGTCACTGTCTTCCTCTCTGCCTGTGTTTCTTGGGCATCTGGACGTTAACTTCTCTACCAATTTCTATGAATACTCATTGCAACCTTGTTGATCATCAAGCTTGACAAGGTTAACCTTGAGAACGTGAAAGTCAGCTGAAAGCAAATCAGAGAGGTGCAGTCAGGGAAGTGCCTGGATGTCCCTGAACCTTGTCAAAGAAGGAGATTTGCAGCCTTCCTTGCATCCTGCATCCACAGCCCACTCTTTCAGTCCCTATTCTTATTCCCGGGGATCCCAGGCCTGAGTCAAAGACCAGCCTTGTGACATTTTCTGCGGTTCTCAACTGTGAGTCACAGTGCTAAGTATGAAAAGGCAAGCTATTCAGAGTGGGGCAGACTGAATATATACCCACTGTGTGACGACTTCCGTTCTCCAAAACGTTGCTTCCTCAGCTATAAAATGTAAAAGTACTGGAAACATATGGGTACCCTTTTATATTTCTAGAGTAGAAAATAGATGAGGTTAGATGGTATGATGTCTCTCAAAAGCACTTCTTTAACAAAAGTTTGAAAATGTTTGGGGACCAGCAGTTAGCATAATGGCTATGTCACTGGACTCCCACATAGTCAACTGTGGTTCGTGTCCCGGACCCGGTGCCTTAAAACTCATGCCGGGCGCGTGTGCGTGCGTGCCCAAGATCCCGAGAGGAGAATGGAGGAGAAGGGATTGCGGCGTGGCCATCCTCCCTGGGGGGTGATTTCTCACTTTCTGTCTCTCTGTCTGTCTCTGTCTGTCTGGCGAGCACACGTGCCCTATAGCAAAAACCTCTAAAAAAAAAAGTTTTAAAATGTCTAGACCAGGGACCATCAGGTGGTATAGTGGTTAAAGTGTTGGACTCTCACAGAGCTGCTAAGGTTCAAGTCCCAGACCTGATGGTTTTCTCTCTCTCTCTCATGCCAAATTTTAAAAATAATAATAATATTCAATAATGTTTTTTAATGTGTAGACCAAGGGCTGGAGATTACAGCATGTCTGAGCCCTGTGGAAGACACACATACATGCAGGTGAAACACAGAGAGAGAATTGCCCTCCACAGGGCTCAGTGGCACAGCAGTAACACTGCTCTGTGATTCTGGACCCACATGGGAAGGTCCCATATTCACATCCAGAGGGCTCTTTGCACACCGGTCTCATATGCACAGCCCACGGTTCAGGCTGGCAAGGACTGGGAGAGGATCATATGAGAACCCTCTGAAGGTGCCTCTCTCTCTCTCTCTCTCTCTCTCTCTCTGTCATGGAAGAAATGAAATAAACTTTTTTTTTTAATCTAGACCAATCTCCAATTTGATTAGGAGATTTCACTTAGGGAAATCTAGCCTGAACATACCATCTGAAACATATATTTGCAAGTATGTTCACCAGGGCATCTCTCTCCAAAAACTCTCTTAACACACTGATCCTACGACTTTTTTCTATCTTCCACTTTCAGCTTTCTCTTGTTCATTAAAACCACTTCTTTCTCTTAGGAGCAAGGATTCTCCTTTCTTGGGAGAGAGAAGACAAAGCAGACAAATGCAGAATTCTCTTTGGCAGACAAGAAAGGAATGGGACACCTATCTATTATACAATTAAAAAAGAAAATAACTTCCTTTCTTACTGGTGAGAATATGAATATTTAATGCTCTGTGCATAAGGACATCCTGCCTGATTCTTGTCTTCCATTTTTTACTCAACAACTATTGATTAAATATCTAAATGCCAGGTAATGCTCCAGCTGCCATGATACACAGAGCTCACACTTAGTCGGAAAGGTAAACGATAAACAAAAGATGGGAATGACACATCAAATTTACATTGTTGAGGGATCCCCCTGCTGCAGTGTATGAACTAAACTGTCAGGAGAAAGTGGAGATCAGGTGCTGGTTCTGTTAGAAGTGGTCTAGGAGGGCATTCCGATCTGCCATCTGCAGTGGGACCGCCACCAAGATGCAATTTTCATAAAAGCCCTTACAGGGAAGACCATCACCCTTGAGACTGAACCATTGGATACCATAGAAAATGTAAAAGCCAAAATCCAGGATAAGGAAGGAATTCTTCCTGATCAGCAAAGACTGATTTTTGCTGGCAAGCAGTTGGAAGATGGGCGTACTTTGACTACAACATCCAAAAGGAGTCCACGCTTCATCTCGTGCTGAGATTTCATGGTGATACTAAGAAAAGAAAGAAGTCCTACACCACTCCCAAGAAGAATAAGCATAAGAGAAAGAAGGTTAAGCTGGCTGTCCTGAAATACTATAAGGAGGATGATGGAAGAAATGAAATAAACTTTTTTTTTTAATCTAGACCAATCTCCAATTTGATTAGGAGATTTCACTTAGGGAAATCTAGCCTGAACATACCATCTGAAACATATATTTGCAAGTATGTTCACCAGGGCATCTCTCTCCAAAAACTCTCTTAACACACTGATCCTACGACTTTTTTCTATCTTCCACTTTCAGCTTTCTCTTGTTCATTAAAACCACTTCTTTCTCTTAGGAGCAAGGATTCTCCTTTCTTGGGAGAGAGAAGACAAAGCAGACAAATGCAGAATTCTCTTTGGCAGACAAGAAAGGAATGGGACACCTATCTATTATACAATTAAAAAAGAAAATAACTTCCTTTCTTACTGGTGAGAATATGAATATTTAATGCTCTGTGCATAAGGACATCCTGCCTGATTCTTGTCTTCCATTTTTTACTCAACAACTATTGATTAAATATCTAAATGCCAGGTAATGCTCCAGCTGCCATGATACACAGAGCTCACACTTAGTCGGAAAGGTAAACGATAAACAAAAGATGGGAATGACACATCAAATTTACATTGTTGAGGGATCCCCCTGCTGCAGTGTATGAACTAAACTGTCAGGAGAAAGTGGAGATCAGGTGCTGGTTCTGTTAGAAGTGGTCTAGGAGGGCATTCCGATCCGCCATCTGCAGTGGGACCGCCACCAAGATGCAATTTTCATAAAAGCCCTTACAGGGAAGACCATCACCCTTGAGACTGAACCATTGGATACCATAGAAAATGTAAAAGCCAAAATCCAGGATAAGGAAGGAATTCTTCCTGATCAGCAAAGACTGATTTTTGCTGGCAAGCAGTTGGAAGATGGGCGTACTTTGACTACAACATCCAAAAGGAGTCCACGCTTCATCTCGTGCTGAGATTTCATGGTGATACTAAGAAAAGAAAGAAGTCCTACACCACTCCCAAGAAGAATAAGCATAAGAGAAAGAAGGTTAAGCTGGCTGTCCTGAAATACTATAAGGAGGATGAAAATGACAAAATTAGTTGCCTTCATCAGGAGTGCCTTTCAGATGAGTGTGGTGCTGGGGTTTTCATGGCCAGCCATTTTGACAGACATTATTGTAGCAAATGTTGTCGGACTTACTGTTTCAACAGACCAGAAGACAAGTAATTGTTTATGAGTTAATAAAATAAATGAACTAACCTTCAAAAATAAAAGTGGTCTAGGAAGGAGATGCTGCTAGTTAGACCATGGTGGAACAGCAAATTAGTACCTACATT